CCCCAAAACCCCAAAACCCCAAAACCCCAAAACCCCAAAACCCCAATTTTATATTTTCATATTGAAAATTAGTTACAAGTTCGATGCTCTAATACCAATCACTTTGATTTTCCTCCTTGTCCGAGGTCTTTTGGATCTAGTTCTTTTCTCAGAAACACCGCTTTGTTGGGAGGATGCTTTCTTTCACATTCCTTCTCTTTGATTATTTTCAGGCTTTCGCTTGATTTGACTATTTTTCTCCTTTCATAAGTTAGATTTGGCAATCAAATTGGTCTTAGGATCTTGGAAAGTAGGCACTCTAAATTTTTTGACTGAAGAATAGCTTGATAAGCTGCTCTCAGATACTTGTGAAGGTCTTTTCTCTCGAACGAGTTTGTGGTTATTACACATAGGGCTTTGTTCAAAATTTTCAGTATACCATCAGTTCTGTTCAAGAGTCTTCCTTTTATCTTGAGTAGATTTGTAGATATTCTGGCTGCCAGTATTCCCCTTATCTTCGTTTTCTTTGTCAATAATCTTTATAGTAAATGCAACTGTCTGGGGGTCTTCTCTTGCTATTCTTGGAGATTTTGGAGGAATAGAGGAGCAATCTATCTCATTACGAATCAATCCTGAGCCTCTAAGGATATTATAACTTGATTTAGTTGCTTTTGTTTTTGAGTGTAATTTAAATGAGTTCTTCTGAACAGGTGTTTTCTGACCCTTTATTGACTTATTTCCAAATTTCTTCTCAATTTTATTATAATAATCTCTTTTTGGAGTCTTAGTGATTGATTTACTAGATAGCGTGCTTGGTCTATGATTTATCATCTGAAAGTCAGCATTGCAACCTGATTTTCGGTTACTATTAAAGGAATTGAAGATGTTCAGATTCCTATTGCCGGAGTTGAGTGAAAGTCTGCCAGAGCTATTTTCACCAACACGAGTTTTAGAAGCGATTTTCTCTCTCAATTTTCCTGCTGCACTAGAGATAAGGTTATTTACAGATGGAGTCCCAGTGACGTCTTTCCTTCTATTGGACTTTCTCAAATGCGTATTCTTTACATTTCTATCAGGAATCTTCTTAGCTGGCTTCGAAGTGGTGTACACTGAGAACACCTCAGTACTAACTCCTTCTGAATTTCTCCCACAAGCACCTAATTTACTCCCATAAGGTTTTCTTTTCTTCTGTGTATATATGTTATTCTTCATATTTAAATTTCAAAATTGTCGAATAAATTTGGGGTTTTGGGGTTTTGGGGTTTTGGGGTTTTGGGG